ATCAGTAAAAACTATAAATCATATAAGCCCTAAAACATTCAAAATAAAACTGTATAAAAAGACACACTATTGTGATGGTCCGCAGAGCCTAGGAAAATAGTCAGGTCTTCATTTAGCACTGAAATATTAGTAATGGAGTGGCTTTGGAAGGGGAGCTGCTTCTTTTATATGAACACCTATGGTTTCCATGACCCACCAAAACTTTAAGTGAAATCTGATTAAGTTGCTGAACATAATGAATGTGCTGAAACTATTTTGGAGGGGGAGGATGGCAGAAAGCACTGCTGCTTGGCTTTTATTGCATAATAACATTTTTTATTACTATGACATGTTGAAACAAACTACAGAGTTTTCAGAGGTATAAAAACAAAACTAATGATGCCTCCTTCACACCTGGCTGAGACCATAGACTATCTTTGCTATTTGGATTGTTCCAGTGATTCTTTATAATAAGTACAAATGGATCAGGAATCAAGACTTGCATTTCATAAAATGGCATCGCTTTGTACATAATATTGCAATAATTTGGAAAGAATTAGTGGGATAAGTACTTGAATCTTCCTAAGTTCTTCTTATGCATGTTATTATGCATTTGTGAACTTGTTGTATACCTGTTGAATACATTTCTCCATGTTTACACAAGTAGGTATGCTTTGACATAGAAGACTAGAAGCAACCTCTCCAAGTATTGGATGAGAATTCTCATAATTCCCCACACATATGGCAACTCTATATTGTATGAGTCTCCCAAATCTTGAATAATTTGATGGCTCAGAAAACGGGTAATGGCTTTTTAATGTTATATTCCAGAACACAGGGATAACCCTAGGAGTTGGATTTTAAATAGATACTAATCATTTATTAGATTGCTGTTCTTTTTTATATATTATATAGTCACAACCGGATGCCTGCTAACAAAGAACTTTTTTTCAAAATGAATTTATGTAAACTTTTTAAAATGGACTTTTATAAAGTTGTAGCTTCTTGCTTTGACAAAATATGCAGAACTGTCTGGCACTTATAGAGTTAACTCAGATGAGAACGGGAGGGGGGAGAAAGAATGTAGAGAGAGAGCAATTTCCATGGGCTTCAGAAGGAAGTGAACCTTTGCCCCCCAGGCTGGTTGGAGAACTGACTCATGACAGCAAAAGAGGGAGGGAAAATGCTAGCAAAAATAACTGCTCTGGGGTGGAGACTTCAGATCTTGGCATCCATCCATGATGTGCTGTCAATCTGTTACACTGTTAATAAAGGCTTTTAGGATAAACAATGCCTGGAAGTTCTTTGAAGTGTTTCATTAGTCGGAACCTTTAAAAAAAAGCTGTCCCTCGAATACCATCTTAATTACAAATCAGAAAGTTCCAATAATTTAAAAAATAGAAAACATCTACCACTGTGCTGGAAAAACCTATGGATCCATCTTTCTTTGGCAAGGGAATGAAGTAATAATAAGACTTGTAGATTTTATTACTGTTTGTATCAAATTGTTTTCAAGAACTTCTGAGAATTAAGAATATAATCAAGCAAAGAGTTGATGTGTCTTTTCTCTTCCATAAGGTTCTTATTTCACACTTTAAATGGCACCATTCAGATGGTGTCATTTCTTTGCAAGCTTTTTAAAGCTAATTAGTATATTTCACCTGACTGTAGCTCAATGTGTTTTACATTTTGAAGTTAGGAAGTCAGAAGTAAACCCTTTGAAGTAAATGAAACTTCAGTCCAAGTAACCAATAGTTGACTAGTTGGTTATAGCTCTTCTGCACCAGACTTTACCCGTTACCATATCATTAAATGCCTCTAGTCATTTTTACTTGACTATACCCCATTTCCTTTCATTGTTAACTTGTGATAAATTGAGTGAGAAGCATATTTCCCATGGAATTACTTATTAAAATATACTAATGGATGTTTGCAAGTAGAAAAATATTTGGAATAATTTAATTATATATATATTACTGGAGGAGATTTCATACTTAAGAATTCTTGCTTTCCATTGGCCTGCATGTAATGATATCCAGAAGCATTAAGCAGATAACACATTTTGTTGCACGCTTTTCCTTCCCCCAGAATTAGTTCATATTTTATAATTTTTAAATTATAAAATCATTGCACTAAACCTAAAATATGACATCCTATTTATCATCCTAAAAAGGCATTGCAGTTTTTTTTTTGAAGAGCAGTCTTAGACATGTTTACTACAAATGTCCCACTTATTTTAGTGAGGTTCAGTCTCAGGTACACGAGGCTAAAGCTAATGTTTCTCCATGGGGCTTTCCCAGATAAATTGTTATTGGACCTTCTGCCCCATACATTTTTATTTGGTATGAAATTTCTTACAAATTCCCTAGGGCAAACTCGATGCTCTTAATCTGTGTTTTATTAATATTTTCATGATTTACAGCCAGCATGAATGATGAAAATAACTGTAGTAAAACGCAACTGGACGGCACACCATGTTGGAGAACATTTTCATAGAAACTCTTATTCCATTTCATCTCTCTTGCCACTGGCTTCATGTAGTACTAACTAGAACTAAATATTCACAACGCTATCTAACAAAATGAAATTCAATGGTGAAAAAAGTAAGGCTCTACATTTAGGGAAGAAAAACCAAATGTACAGGTATAGTATAGGGGCTACCTTGCTCAATAGTAGTAACTGTGAGAGGGATCTCGGAGTCCTAGTGGACAATCACTTAAATATGAACCAGCAGTGTGCTCCAGCTGCCAAAAAAGCGAACTCAGTGCTGGGCTGCATTAACAAAGGGATAGAATCAAGATCACGTGAAGTATTAATACCACTTTACAATGCCTTGGTAAGGCCACACTTGGAATACTGCATCCAGTTTTGGTCACCACAATGTAAAAAGGATGCTGAGACTCTAGAAAGAGTACAGAGAAGAGCAACAAAGATGATTAGGGGACTGGAGGCTAAAGCATATGAGGAACGGTTGCTGGAATTGGGTATATCTAGTTTAACAAAGAGAAGGACGAGGGGGGACATGATAGCAGTGTTCCAATATCTCAGGGGCTGCCACAAAGAAGAGGGAGTCAAGCTATTCTCCAAAGCACCTGAGGGCAGGACAAGAAGCAACGGATGGAAACTAATCAAGGAAAGAAGCAACCTAGAACTAAGGAGAAACTTCCTGACAGTTAGAACAATTAACCAGTGGAACAACCTGCCTCCAGAAGTGGTGAATGCTCCAACACTGGAAGTTTTTAAGAAGAGACTGGACAGCCATCTGTCCAAAATGTTGTAGGGTTTCCTGCCTGAGCAGAGAGTTAGACTCGATGACCTTCAAGGTCCCTTCCAACTTTACTATTATTATTATTATTATTATTATTATTATTATTATTATTATTATTATTATTATTATTATTATTATTATTATTATTACAACTGTCTCATTCATTTAGGGTACTTGGCCATATAATACTTCAATAAAAGTTGTTGATTCAGACTCCATGAAATCAACCTTATTTCTTTTGTGCCTTTTGTTTATTTAGCTCTTGCCTGTAGGACCAAATATCACTTGTTATATGGATAAGAAAGACTGGAGGGTTTTGTTTTTCATCATTTATTATTCATATACTTGTAAAGAACTAAATCAGGGGATTTTTAATGCATAAGACATACAATGGTTAAAATGATTTTACATCATTTATATCTTATTGATGAAAATTGGAGTCCCTGGAGCTAAGTATGATAAGTGATTAGATACATAAATGCCATCTCTCATCACTGGTATTATGTGAGTTTTCTTCTCTTGTTATGGCTTGAATTATCTAGACATCAAAGAAATGAAGCTACTGAAACTCAGAATGCTTTCATAAGTATTAAATCCATGCCTCTAAATATATATTTTCATCTGTGAATACTTTAATTCTTCATGGAGCTCAGTTCCATGCATTTTTCTGAGCTCAGATATTTTTTTATTCCCAATTGCTGGAAAACAATGACACAGGAAAATGAGACAAAGTGGAAAGCACAAAATAATGTAACTAATTGTATGACAGAGGGCATAAAAAGGGGATTAGCTGGTGCCTTAGGGAATTGTCACAGAATCCTAATCTTATCTCTCCCTCTCTCTTCCCCTCCCAAGCCAACTGATGTAATGAACTAGTTATAAATAGCTAATTAGTCATTTATACACTGCCCTACATGCAACATCTTGTTAAATGAGATTCCCTGGGCCAATCCAATAGAATGAGATGTCTCAGAAAAGATAGAAAAGTAAATGAGGGATTAAGAGAGTTACTGTTTGTTAAAAGGATTGTTTAAATGCAAGGTACGGTGGAATACATAAGCACTATGATTAATTTAGCAAAACGCACAAACCATTCTTACCATTGATGTACTGGTCAGCGTCTTAGCTTGGCAAAGTTATACAAAGTTAGGGAGAAACACAATCCACATTTGAACAATTTCAATTTGATAATTTGATAATCTTAAAGAATACATGTATAAGAAGAGAATAATATTCAGTTAACCAGGATCCAACCGTAATAACAGGTAGGTGCTAAAATGTATGATCATGAGATTTTTTTCTCTAAATATATAACAGGAGCTTTATTCAAACAATATCGATGATGTGGAATGCATTTCAGTTTTAAAATGTCAGGTATTTCTGGTTTACTTTAACATTTTGGATCTTGAAACACTAAAAATGGGAAGTGCCTCCTGTATCTTTGATATTTATGAGAATCTGTTTATAAGAACAGATACAATGTGGACGACCTGGCTGGATCAACCATTAGACTAAATGTATTATTGTTACATAATTCAAAGCTGCACATCTATTGTAAGTTTCCTAGTTGCCTTGCACTTTTTTTAGCTCCAGATTTATTTCTATATTGTTATCTTCCTTTCTCTATGTCTTCTAGTCTTACTACCATGTTTTCCTTGTTTCCCGTTTTCTTTTCTTTTTCCACCTTCAACCTTTGCTCCTGTGTGGTGATCTATCCCTCTCTCCCTGGCCCTGGTCCCTCTCTCTCTCTCAGGCATGCGAATATTGGTGAATTTGCTCTTGGACACATTACCCATGTTGGGAAATGTTCTCCTTCTCTGCTTCTTTGTCTTCTTCATCTTTGGTATCATCGGTGTGCAGCTGTGGGCCGGTCTACTGAGAAACCGCTGTTTCATGGATGAGAACTTGACAATGTGAGTGCTCAGGAAATGACTCTCTCATTCCTTTTCAACTTTGTAAAGCCTCTGTTCTTCCGCATTTTTTTTTTATCTATGATATTGAGCTAATCCCAAGTCCCTCACCCTTGTATACTACATCTAAAAGTTCCATCTGCTTCTTGAAAGGAACCTGTGAGAATGTTGACATTACTGTTGTATAATTATGTATATCATCAACAAGAAAATTCAAAGATTGTCATAAGATTAAAGTATTGGAGAGGATCATCTAGTCCAACTCCTTGATGCAGAAAATCCAGACAAAGAATTGCTAGTCTCTGTTTTTCAGGGAAAAAGAATCCATAACTTCAAGTAAATACTTACATGTTCAAACAATTATAATTTATTAAAATTTGAATAATATTCCAACTATTATTATTATTATTATTATTATTATTATTATTATTATTATTATCATCATCATCATCATCATCATCATCATCATCATCATCATCATCATCATCATCATTATAATAATAAAATTGAATTATTTGCCCTTCCAATGTGTTGGAGAATTAACTGCTATGACCTCATCCAGAATAATCTATCAGTTCTAAAAACTGTACAATACATTTGAAGGGAGTTCAGTTAGATAAGACTGCATAGTAAACAATTATATCTTCTCTCATTACTCCCTTTCAGGTTTTTTAGCTTCTCATATGGTTCCCTACATTCTTCCCCAGTATTGAAGCAGATGATATGTGAATCTGGGTGATAACTTCAAGGAGAACTGTGATGCTAACCTTTTTGTTTGGCTGTCTAGATTTCTAGATGTTGGCATGTGCAGATTCTTAACTCTTCCTCTCTCTCTAAATTTACACAGTGGTAGAAATCCAGCCTGTGTTGCAAATATGTAGTTTAAATTTTTTGCTTTAACGCAAGACCATTTCATGTTATGATTCATTTCATATCAAGAACTGCAACAATATGGACTTTCTAATGAATATACATTTATGGTACATATTTATAAAGCATTTTTAGCAGTTTTAATACATTTTCTGTGTTTTTTCTGCCTTACAAAGAATCAAACAAGTACATGTTTTATTCACATTACATTTTAAAACATTGTAGTATACATCTGAAGCAATATCATGAGTAAAGGAGCATATATAAAATGGGTAAACTCATGGTTTAAAATTGTGCTCCATTATTTTTAGATAATTCATTCGTTTTTAAATTTTTGTAGATTTTTATTTTTCTGAGCTTACTTCTACTATTTTAAGTTTAGATTCAATATTGTGGGAAGAATTGCTATCACATGTTGAGAAATAAGTATGCTTAATGATTCCATATGCTGGCATGGTACCAGATTACCCATTTGCTCTAGGAAGCATCTGCTGTCTATTTTAGCTCTAACTGTGACACAAACCTTTCTCTTAAGGAAAAAATGAATAAAAACATGCTCTTTCCTTGTCCTTTTTCAACATCTTTTCCCCAGTGTATAGAAATTGGCTTTTCCTTGAGTTATAATCACTTCAGATCATCTTCTAAACTATTGATCCAGGTCAATTTGAATGAGCCACAAAACTTTCCATTTCCTTGTCCATATCATACTTTGCTATGACTTCTGAACAAACCAATAGTAGTTAGCATTTCTCCTCCAAATAATAACTTTAAACTAGTGCTGTTCTAGAGTTCAGGCTGAAACACAGAGAGGGAGCAGTGCCATGCTAATGCCATTTCCAGATTTCCCATATCTTCAATTCCCAAATTTTCTGAACTTTTCTGAAGAAGAGGAAATCCTTCATTTATTCATTGTTTGAATACCTGCCCAAGGTTCCTGATTTCAAGGAATCATTTAAATACATTGAGCTGGGTACATGAAGAAAGAACCTTCTTTTAGTCCTAATGTACCAATGAAACTAATGGTAGAACTGACAAAAATAGAGTAATAAAATTACTTTCCACTCTGTTTTTAGCACTCAGAGAAGACTTTCTGTTTGGAAATCTACTATTTTCTACTTCTACTTTGGAGAGCAAGTATTGACACAGTAAAAAATTACAGATTTAGTGTACTATGGGGGCCCTGTCACAAACAAGCATACAACTGTGGAACTGGATCTTAAAGTGGATCTTGTAATCAATGTAATAAGCATTTTACTCTTGTTGTTCTTGTTAATATTTCTAATTCTAGCCAATATCTCTGGATAGATAACATTATTAATCCTCTGCTGTACTAGATTTTTATTATTTGTCTTATAGTCAGCCAGATATTTGGGGTTGGGTATGGCTTTTTTGTCCACTTTTTGAGTCCTTCCCAAGAATCTAGGATAAGGAGTTATTGTTATTTAAGAATATTAAAAGTATTATCATAGAATGTAAGCTGTTTCAGGTAAAACTGTCTTTTGCAATTGACTGACAGTGATTTTGTCAATGCTGATAGTGTTCAAGTGGTCTCCAGATGTTTTGAAATTGCACCCATGGTACTTATTATTATTGGTACTATCTTTGCTTTCTTTTGCAGCAGGTGTTCTACTTCTATTTGCAGGGCTTTATATTTTGTGATTTTTCGCCATTATGTCCAGTCTACACATGTATTATTAACTACAATATTTGCCATAACAATTTTGTTCATGTGTTCTCTCAGCCAAGGTAACATCACTCTTCCTCCCTATTATCAACCTGAGGAGGAGGATGAAATGCCCTTCATCTGTTCACTGTCAGGCGATAATGGTATCATGGGCTGTCAAGAGATACCCCCACTCAAAGAACGGGGCCATGTATGCTGCTTGGACAAGGATGACTACTTCTACTATACTTCAGTCAGACAGGAGTTCAACGTCAGTGGCATGTGCGTTAATTGGAACCAGTATTACAATGAGTGTCGTACAGGCAATGCCAATCCACACAAAGGGGCAATCAACTTTGATAATATTGGCTATGCATGGATTGTTATATTCCAGGTAATCTGAATCAGGTTATCTAAAACTTCTACTCATTCTAAAGATGAGGTCCCCAAAACACCTTTCCAAGAGTGATCTATCCAGGTCCAGCCGAGGTATTTGGTTTCCTGTGGCAAAGAACAGAAATGGACCTGTCTGCTTAATTTTACTTGAATCCTGGCAGTGTCTGTTTCAAGTAGCTGATTTTGAGAACTGTGGTTTATTTCAGAGAAACAGTCCTGTGTCTCTAAGTCAGTGATGCATAACCTTTTGGCAAAGGGAGCTACATTTTGTCTTTATACAGATAATAGGCAGAACCTATTAATTTTAATTTAAAGATTTAAAATCAAATAGAATTAAATGAGAAAACTAAGTTAAACTAAATTAGAATCAAGAAGACATTAAATTAAGGAAGCTAATATGATTATTCCTAATGATATTTAAAATGTTGTGATAAGTTTTGTGATATATTGGTCACATCCAATGTTTTGGAACACTATGTGAAGCTCTGGGAGTATAAGTCATATACCTTGTCTTAATGTGTTATGAAATATAATTTGAGAGCATCAGGCTAGGGAAAGTTGCTTTAGTAATCCATAAGGATTTTATTTTTTCCTTTTGTCAGGATTTCCCTAAGATGCCTTACAAAAAAAAAAGGATATTCTATCTCCTTGTAGCTACTGAAATATTTCCTATTCCCTCTCTCTTCTTTCAGGTAATCACTCTGGAAGGATGGGTGGAGATTATGTATTATGTGATGGATGCTCATTCATTCTACAACTTCATTTACTTCATTTTGCTGATCATTGTAAGTACAATAGTCCCTTCACTGGGTAGATAAAATATGCCCTTCACATGAGAGAAACAAATCCCAATAAACCAAGGAGCTGGACATTTATGTTCTTTGAAATAAAATAGCTGTTGCAAATAATTCTAGGAGATACCAATTTCAAATCCTTTGTTTGAAATAGCAAAAAAAATCATTCTTGTTCATGAATGAAATTGATGAATTCTTTCTAAGGTCTTTGAAATCTGTTGTCATATTTAAATACTTTTTTAAATAAGTGTTTTATTCATTTTCTATTATTACAAATCATAAGTGCTTAGTAAACAACATGATGTCTGGGTACATTTGTTACTCAGTGTTGCGTCTTAAATTCTTAAATATAAATCTGGTCAATGCTACACAATCCAGTGATTTTCCCCCCTGATGCTCTCTTCTTCCCATAGTATTTTCAATTTTTCAACATTGAACAAATACAGTTCTTACTACTATTGATACATACAAAATTAGATATAGACATTCTCTTCCATTTTTTCTAGTGTTATACAAATAAAAATGGTAATTTATAACCTCTTTTCTAACCACTTTATATTTGAACTGTATTTGCAATTAAAGTCTCCTTATTAAATCAATGTCCTGTTTGTCAAGCTTTTATTTAAGTTTGATTTCCCATTAGTATTCAAAATATCTTTGTCAGTTATGATTTTCTCAAAATTAGTTATATTTGTGTAGCTGAAAATTTCATTTATACAAGCCATCCTAGTGTTTTTATAATTCCCATATAAAAAAGAAGATGCCATTCTAATTATAAATCATATCTTTCTTATTATAAAAATCTATTTATATCTATGGGTTATCTATTTTTTGACCCTATGCAAACAAATATTGGATCATATAATACCCCATCTGGTACGTCAGATCTTCTGTTATTTGAGTCTAATTCTAACTTTCTTCCTTTGCCAATTGGCTTTCCAGGGCAAAGTAATTAAATCACCAAAAAAATATTCCTCTGTTTTTGTGAATATTGCTTGGAATGGGAAAATCAATTTAAGTAGAGTATTTTTGAGGGGGAATTCCACCCAGTTGTATTCATTAAATAACTCCCACTTTCCTTCTCCCTCAATTTCTCTTTTCATTTTTTGTCTCCCAATTTCTGGCATTTCCCCTAACAGCTTTATAATCCATTTTTAAAAATCTTTTTCCTTATCCTCAGGTATATTTTGAAAACCTAAAAAATAGGGTGCCTTTTCCATTTCCATTGTTGTAACTAAGTCAGATTTTTATTTGTCTGTGCCAATTTATGTTTCCCTTCTTTTATATCTTGCATCTTTGGATCAATTTCTTCTGATTCATCTTTTGTTTTCTGACTTATTTGTTCTTTCTTTTTTTTAATAGATATTTTATTGGTTTTTAACTATAACCATCTCCAGTGCCTGGTGTACAGTATGTTGTCTTGGTTTATATTTTAACAAGAAAAAAAAGGACAGTAATAATTAATTAACAGTCAATAATGATTAAATTTGATAATTCCATAATTAATATATTACTTAATAATACATTTCTTTGATCTTCCCTTCTCCCATTTGTATTTTCC